TCCATCCCATCCAGGGGGAAGTAGAAATACTCCTAGTCGCTTCATGCTACAGAAACCGGAGTTAAGCACCGGCCTAATGGGCCACTAGGCTCGTAAACAGACTTTACTTACTAAAAGTAGCCCAGGCTTTTCGTTTCTACGGAAGTCTGAAGGGCGATAAACGGAGTGCCAGTGAAGCTTTTCACCAGACCATGAAGTGGATGAGAGAATCCAAGAGATACAGAGTGAAGGAATGGGCTGCATTTGTTTTGATAGGCGATGACGTCACTCCTGATTCATGAAAGACGTTACGTCATAGTGAGCAACAAAATAGTCATCTGATCAGGTCCAAAGCTTTGTTTATGGATGGTTTGCATAAGCCTTAAGTAATTTTTCAATCAGGGATGTTTCATTTGGAGTATGTTCAGATCTATAAGGGTTATATCATATCAAGAGTCAAATGTCGAGGCCCACAAATTGACCCTTGCTCACCATAGAGTCTCCAGTAGCTCAGTGGTTGGAGCATCCGACTGGATCACGGAGGGTCGTGGGTTCAAGTCCCATCTGGGGCTCGGATTTTTCTATCACACTAAAAATTGTTTCATCTCTCATGCTCAAGTTATTTTTTCTTTTTCTTTTTTTTGTTTTGATTTCTGTGTCAAAATGCTGTACCCGGGACACAATAACACCTAGTTTTATGCTTAAAACGTTTTCCTTAGCCGTTTGCGAGGATTAATTTTGCACTATTTCATAGTGGCGTTCAAAGAAGGTATCTGCGAGTTTCCCCCAAAGACTCCGACTTCATTTTAGTTACACACACCTGAGGCAGAAGTCCCTTTTTCGACGACGAAACGTCTAAACTGACCCGAAGTATAAAAAGGACTGGTTCAGAGGTGATTTCTCACACTCCTCGCCATGTTGCATCCACAGGGATCCCATAGAAGAACACCACAACAAGCCATCTTATTCTCTCCTCAGCCAAAATCGTGGCTGAGGATTTCACTTCTGAAATATTCTCACCACATGCAATAGCGCCCTTGTGCAGGAAGGCGAGGTATGGGAGGATACCCGCCACTGCCAGGGCAATAGGCTTGTAAATTGTAGGGAACGACGCTGACCGCCACCTGGCGGGAAGGTGGGAGGGGCGAAACTTAACCGTAATAGCACCGAACTCCGTCGAACTGATCACGAGGTGAATTAGAATGCGATGTTTGAGGGGACGACTGCAATGCATCATATCAAAAATGCACAGGCCCAACACGCCGGAATTTGAAGTACTGAGCTCTTCTCGCGCGCTGGACTGATTACGTATGCATTGAAAATAGTTAAAAAAGTTCGAAGCATCACAACATTGTCGCGCCATGTTACGTGAGGTGTGGAATACATTAAGTACGACATGCGCTGTGTCATAGGCGAGTCAGTTTTTTGTAGTTAGAATTCGGTTTTGTTTTGTAGTGCAAGACTCATTGTATTCAAAATATGCAAATTGAGAACCCAACAAAAGCCACCGAAAAACGTGGGAGGCCTTTCCGATTAAGACACCTTTCGCCTTTCGCTTTTCGGTATGTTTTCCATTTTTTTCAGCTATATCTCGCGGCCCTTGTAAGATTTTGTATGTTTTTTTTTT